TGAGTCACATGATGATTTAGTCCCAATTGTTTCTGAAAGGGTGATACTGATTTCCACAGTGGTTATTGTTCTGCCTTAACCCACAAGTCGTGAATCAGGATTCTAATCTCTCTGCATTTTCTCCAGTATTTGTTATTTTCTTTAACTTCGATATCAATGATGGTGTGAGGTGGTATGTCATTCTTGTTTTGCTTTGCCTCTCTTGAATGGCTAATGTTCTCAAGCATTTCTTCATATTCTGTTCACTGCCTGGATGTTTTCTTCAGTGAACTGTCTGTTCGTGTCCTCTGCCCATTTGATAAATTGGATTATTTATCTTTTTTTCTTGTTGAAGTGTTGCAGTTTTCTATACATTTTTAGAGATTAATTCCTTGTTCAATACGCCATTGCTAATTTCCCCCCCGAGTTTGGGTGTTCTTTTTATTAATTTGATTAAATCTTTTAGTGCACATTTGTGCTTTATTTTTTAGGAGGTTCAACTCATCTATTTTGTCTTCTGCTGTCGCATAATTTGTTCCTATTTTTTCCATCGATGATCTTTATATTTCTAGGGTTTACATTTAGGTCTTTAATCCAACTTGGTTCAATTTTCTTTATGGACTGAGGTATGTGTCCTGTTTCACTCTTCTGCAAATGGAAATACAATTTTGTCAGCACCATTTGTTGAAGAGGTTATCGTTTCCTGATTTAATGTGTTTCAGCCCTTTGTCAAAGATTAGTTTTCTGTAGGTGGATGGATTTATTTCTGGATTCTGTAGTCTGTTCCATTGGTCTACATATATCTTATGGTACCAATACCAAGCTGGTTTGACTACTGTGGCTATTAGTAGGTTTGGACGTTTGGAAGTGAGAACCCCCTCTTTTATTTTTTCTCTTTAGCAGTGCTTTGCTTTTCCTGGGTCTCATTTCTTTCCATGTAAAGTTGATGACTCGTTTTTCTCTCTCTTTAAAGAATGATGCTGGAATCTGGATGGGAATTGAATTAGATTTATAAATTGCTCTGGTAGTATTGACATTTTGACAACATTAAGTCTTCCTATCCATGAACATGGGCTATTCTTTCATTTATGTAGGTCCCTATTGGTTTGTTGTAGTTTTGGGGATGTCCTAGGATTGGGAGTTTATGGAATCCTATGGATTATCTCAACTTTTGTTTTCTTCTTGAGCCTCTTCTTCTACCCGTTCATCCCTGCATCACCACCCCTGTTGCCGTACATTTAGTTGGGATAAGCACTACTTGGTTCCTGAACATTTTTAGATTTAGCTTAAAATCAAAGGAAATTCTGGATATTTAAATAGAAGCTACTCTAGCATGAGATTTAAAAAAAAATTACTTTTCTTTTAAAAAAAATTTACTTTTTTTGTAGAGTTGCCTCTGGGTCTTTAATATGTTTTCTTGACCTCCAGGGCCCCATGAAATTCCCTGTTCATCACTTATTTAAATTTATTCCCATCCTTTAAGCAGGTGTTTACTTCAGGTGAGAAAGCCCTATCCTGTTCCCCTTGTTCCCATGGCCTTGCTGTCCTCTCTTGATTTTGGATAGCACATTTTACCGCATGTGGTAGAGCACAATAATCAAGAACATGCCTCTGGAGTTAGACTGCATAGGCCCAAATCTTGGCCGTGGACAAATTACTTTACTATGCTTTTGTTACCTTATCTGAAAATGGAGCAGAAAGTCCCTACCTCATAAGGTACCTGTGAGGGGCAAGTAATTTTAAATGTACTTAATACAATACAGGTATTAACATATATGCTATTTAAGTCTTCCTCTGTTCATCTGTCAGTTTATCATAGTGTGGTGACTGGTGTGTTTATGTGAAGTTGGAAGCTATGCCACAGGTATTTCAAATGCCAGTAGGGTATATGTAGTGGACAGGTTTCAGTGGTACTTCCATATTAAGATAGACTGGGAAGAAAGGCCTGGTGATCTATTTCTGAAACCCAGCCAATGAAAACTACGTGGGTCACAACAGAATGTCTGATACAGTGCTGGAAGAGGAGTCCCCTTGGTTGGCGTAGTGCACATGGTTTATGCTTACTACACTATGGCACCATGGCAGAAAGCTTTCATTAAGACTGCAGCCATGGAAGCCCTATGGATAGCTCTATCCTATAACAGTGGGGTTGCCATTAGTTAGAACTAACTTGATGGCAATGCATTTTAAGGATTATTATTATATGTAAGTGTACAAATTGTACTTATTCTCTGAGTTCCAACTCAAGTGTCATTGCCACCGTGTAGCCTCCCCTGACTACTCTAGCCCAAGAGGACTTCTTTGCAAGTTTTTATCTGTGTACCATGCAGTCTCTTGGTGTCTATTGGCTTGTATCGTCCCTTCCTGATTCCATGTCTTTTCCTTCTTTTCAGGTTATAAACTTCTTGATGATGCAGGTTTTATATGTTTCTTCTGTGTTAGCAATAAAAATACAAGTAGGTTAAAATGCAAATTCTAAGGGAGGACGTTACCCCAAGTGCAGTGTTGGCTCTGTGAATACTTCGCTTCTGACAGGGAACATGATGAGAGCGTAGTTCCAAGCTCATTCACTACTGAGGGCTCAGAAGCACTTTATAGACAGCTGGGAGAGCTGCGATGTGTGAGGGAACTGGCAGGGGTAGAGAAAGGAGCCTATAAGGAAGTATTTCCTGGATCTAGTGTCTCCTTCCCAATGTCCAAGAATTATAAGTACCTAATTTAAAGTACGTTATTTTTGGTTGCTGCTTTGTATTCATTTGATTGCAATGCTCTTAGAAGCCACATTGAACACAGTTTTGTAGCATGACAATTATATGTGCTGAACTATCCATTCACAAGAGAACATTACTGCTGGCTAGTTGATTCTGACTCATAGCGCCCTTCTAGGACAGAGATTTGCCCTGGTGGGTTTCTGAGGGCGTAAACCTTTACAGGAGCAGAAACCCTCAGAGAACAGTGGGGGTTTTGAACTGCAGACTTTGCAGTGAGCAGCCGAACTATAATCTACTACACCAGGGCTCCTACACAAGGTCAAGTACTGTACAAATGCAGTGTGCCATCGACACCAACTTTTAGAATTTCTCGGTACAGAAGTGAGCCCTGTGAGACAGTTCTTCTCCCCTTTCATGTCTACTACATCATTTTAGACTTGTCATGGTCCACCTTCTTTCTTTTATCCCTTAAAAGTGAGCTCATTTATTGCCTCATCAAAACCCACAGGGCTGGAACCAAAGGAGAAAGAGGGAGAGGGAGATGAGTGGGGAGAACAGACCTGAATATAATCACTAGGCTTTCATCTCTATAACTGGGGAAGGTTCCCAGGCTTTTGCTTCTGAGTGATTGGGCAAAGCAGGGCAGCTCATGTGGAGATGGCAGAGGGAAGGAAACCAGACAGGTTCACAGAGAGAGGATGGGTGGATTACTTTAGGACCGTGTCCCTCAAACTTTAATGTGCATATGATCACCCGAGAACTTTGTGAAGAACATGGCATCTGAGGTAGCAGGTCTGGGCGAGGCCTGTAGCTATGCATTTCTCCCGAGTTTCCAGAAGTTGCTGAAGGTGTTGCTCCATGGACCATACTGTGGTCCGAGGATCAACAAGACCTCAGGTAACAACACGGAAAGGAAAGAGCCTGTGGATTTGATCACCTGATGAGTGAGTCTCCCGTGACTTCTAAGTATTAACAGGTGTAGGAAGCGGAGAGTGCTGGTATTGGTCCATAAACAAAGGGAAGGGCTCCCAGGGGAAGGAGAACATCGGAGGGAGAGAGAGCAGGGTTCACTAATCAACGACTTTCCCCACCTGGAGAACATTTTCCCAGCCCCTTCTCCGTAGCAATGCTGACGTTTCTCAGTTTCACCCGGGGCAATAGGCTGGGTCTGTCTTTCCCCCAGGCTTTCCACCTGCCCTGGCACAGTGTCATCCTTTGGAGAGAAGATGGTGAACCAGTTCATTCCAGTTTGACGCCCCCAGGCCGGGAATTTGCATCTCTACCCCAAGCTCTCCCATGTATTTTTAAAGATCACCTGGGGATCTTGTTAAACTATAGATTGTAATGCAGTTGACCTGGGGTGGAAATGCAAATTCTCAGTCAGGGGTAGGAGTGGACCAAACTAGTTCTTAGCTCTGGTTGGAAATGCCAGGGTTGAGAATCCATTAGGTTAGTGTTAAATGGGATTTAATTTGTGTTTCCCATGTTGGACTGTGTGGTAGTGACATAATTTCATGTCAACTTGAAGAGCTATAAAAGGGTAGGGATGTTGTTTAGCCAGTCAGTCAGGTCACAGACTGATGGTGACTCCCTGTGGGCGACTCCTTGTGGGCGTGCCCGTCTCCTAAGGAGGGCCCTGGGAACCTCCCCGCTCCACCCCCACCCCCTACCCCTCCACCTTCACTTTCCTGCTGGCCGACCCTTGTTGCTGTCAGAGCCCTGGAGATGCGCCCACTGCCATTGGATCCAAGGGACTTTGCATCCACCTGCCTGTGATCTTCCTGCATTCTGCACCCTTGCCTGCGGCTGTGGGACGATGCAGAGGGACTTATGGACTAGTATCAGACTTAGGGACTTGAGTTGGACTGGGCTGGTTTCCTGTTATACAACGACTTCTCGATATCAAGCTTTTCCTTACACATGTATGAGTGTCACTGGATTTGTTCCACTAGTCAATCCGGCCTCACACAGACGGCTAACCACACCGTCAAGAGTCAAAACCATCAGCTCCTCCAGATGAGGCTTTCTGGGCCCATAAAGTATCACAGTCCCAGAAGCCCACAGGGGCAGCTTTATCCTGCTTTACAGGGTCACAATGATTTGGAATGGGCTCGATGACAGTGAGTTGGTTTTCTTTTGGGGGGTTGGCCATGCGACTAGGCCATCCAGCTGCAGCTGTCCACACGTGCTGTTTCAGGTCGAGAAGAAGGTCACCAGGGAGAGAAGAGCCGGGTGCAGCAGCAAGAGGAAGAGCTCGCCTGCAGCTAGAAGGGGGACTAGCAGGCAGCACCGAGTCTGGGATTTACTCACAGTGTGATGGATTCGTTATTCATCCCTTGAAAAGCATTCCCTGGTATGGTGGTTATGTGTAAGTTATCACAAATTTCCCTTGAGGAAAGAAAGGAGAAATATTTACTTTCCAAATTTTAGCTACAAATAGGAAGCTGTGATGCATAGCAATCAGCCCGGTACTTACAGAATGAAGTTGAATTCGGAGGAGAAGATCATCGTAACATCTGGAAGCTGCTGGAGGCCTGTATTACAGATGCTTCTGTGATTCGAAGTAGGGAGGTAAAGAAGGCAGAGAGGAGGCAAAGGTAACCGGCATTGAGGCATAAAGATAAAACAGGCACCGAGACACTTTGTAAATACCAGGTTCACATTAAATGGAAAATAATTAAACTCAGTTTTATCAGGGACACTTTCAGAAGATGCAGTCCGGAACCATTTAAAACTCCCTAATCCTACGGGGAGGAGCCACGGTGGCGCAGTGGGTGCAATTGAGCTATGAACCGCAAGGTCAATGGTTTGTACACAGCAGCTGCTCCTTGGGGAAATGGGGAGGCTTTCTATTCCCATAGAGAGTTACAGTTTCAGAAATGCCAGGGACAGTTCTACCCTGTCCTGTAGGGTCACTTTGAGTCGGAATTAACTCATGGGCAGTGAGTCCGGAACCCGAAGGGAAAAGTTGCTCTAAGGACTGCTGTTCAGAGATTTAGGGGCTGGGGCCATATTTTTAGATTTTTCCTCATTTAGATTTATAGTCCAACCAGTCTGTCCCTATTGCATTGATTGCATTTTCCTATTGTGCTCCATCCCATTTCCTTGTGGTAATTCATTTATTCTACACTCTTGATAGTTCCAGAAAGTAGCCTTCTACTTTGGAACAGGCTTTCACACTTCAGGAAGATTATTCTCTGTGTGAGAAATTGATATCTATTGTTACGAAAATCCTGCAACCACTTTGTGCTTTAGCAAGTTCTTCCTTGTGTCTCCTGAATATCACAAACATTCTCTGGGTGGTTGGAGCTACTCAGACTTCTCTTTTATTGACCTCGCACCCAAAGGAGAGAGAACACAGTAAAAGGGTGAATTAAAGGGTTCCTTCAGAAGCGTCTGGATATCTGAATTCTTCCAACTGATTTTTAAATGCACTGGGCAGGGACTTTGGACAAGGGGTTTCAACCCATGGGCACCCTACTGACAACAAAAGAAAGCCAGGTTCTGTTTTGGCTCTTTTGACCGCTTCTTACTCCACGTCCTCAGATGCTGCTGCACCCTTGCAACAGCAGTGGGGCTGAGACTGCACCACGGACTGTTTGTCTGAGCAATGCCCCTTTCAGGGTTTGCAAAGGCTATTTCACCAAGGTGATGACGCTTAGAGATGGCTGTCCATGTGGGTGCCAGGACTGTGGTGATCTTCCTGAAGATGGTTGATGCCAAAGTATGTGTATGTGTCCTGCAGAATCCCTGGCCCCTTGCAAAAATGGGATGCCTAGGGTGGAGCTGTCCCGTGGGGGGAGAAGACCAAGGAGCTCCCAGGAGCCTAAAGGTTCAGGAGAGATGGCTCTCTCTCATTCCTCCCTGCCCTGCTTTTTACTTTTGGGTGTTGCAGATTTAAAATCTTGGCAATCTTATGAAATTTATCTGGAGGAAGAGAGAGGGCATTTGAGTAAGGGTGATTTAATGTTTTCAGTGTGAATAAGAGATGATTGGATATGTGAGAACGTCCACGGTGGTAAATGTATAGATGGCTTCTAATTTCAGGAATTTCTGAGTTGCTGGCAATGAATCACTCGGGCGATCATGGTGCTCTGGTGGACTTAGTAAGATTTAATGGGGACTACAAAATGACTTCATTTCTATGACTCCGTGCCCACCTCAAGGCAATGCTTAAAACATTTTTATTTAGTGAATGGATCTGGCCATATGAGATTAAGGATATCAGTAATTCTCAACCAGGAGTGGACTCAAGTTACCTGCTCCTCCCTACTGTTGTCTGCTCTCTGCCCTCATCATCTTGGTCTTTGACATTCAGACTCTGTTTAAAAATGTAATGACCCCTCATTCTAGCCTCTAACTTTTAAATCACCACACACTGGTGATGCTGCCTCAGGCACTTGGGGCAGAAAAAGTATGGGGAATTCTGCCCGGTGGGAAATCACCACGCACGGCGATGAGCACAGAATGGTGCTGGGTGCCGGTGAGCTGTTTCCCATGCAAGAAGACCCCATGTGGCAGAGCAGCCCTGCTATTAGGGTTTTTGGGGCGTCATCTTTCCAGAAGCACATCGCCAGGTCTCCTTCTGCCAGAGTCATGGGGTAAGCTTGAACTGTCAACCTTGTACTTAGCAGTTGCCCACTTAAGCCTTATGTCACCAGGGCTCTTTAGCACCTAACCCCCATTGCCAATGGTGATTCTGACTCATAGCCACCCTGTAAGGGTAGCATGGAACACCCCTGTGGTAGGTCCAAGGCTGTCAATCTTTAGGAAAGCAGATTGCCACCTCGTTCTCCTACAGAATAGCTGGTGGTCTCCAGTGGCGGACCTTCCGGTTAGCAGCTGAGCACTTAACCACGGCACCACCAGGGTTCCTTTAGTACCCAATACCCAAATACCCAAGCTCAGTGCCCCTGAGTCGATTCTATAGGGCGCTTCCTAGACTGTCAATCTCCCCTGGAGCCGACAGCCTCATCTTTCTCCTTTGGAGGGGCTGGTCTGTTTGAACTGCCAGCCTTGTGGTTAGCAGCCCAGCACCTAATCCCTAGGGCCACTGGGATTTTTAAATCCCTGATGCTATTGTGGGGGTTCTACTATTGCAAGTATTTACCTAAAACACGGCGTGTTTCTAATCCCCTGGAGTCCACCGTGCATGTAGATGATGAGCATTGCTTGGTATTTAAATGGATACTTGCCACACGTGAGCTCACCAAAATAGTCACGGGAAACTAAACCCTCCTCTAAGTGGGTCTGTGCAGTTCCACTAGGGTCACCTGTGTTTGGTTAAAAATTTCTCCTTCACCTTTTGTTCTCATTTTCATCAAACACCCTCTTCCCCTCTGCACTTGCTTAAAAAGGAAACTTGCTTACAGGTATTTTAACCGGGGGAGATTTGTGAATGCTCCAGCTTCGATGAGCACCAGGCTCTTGGTGTTCTGGACCAATCTGTGGGAGAAAAGAAGCAGCAGTGTAATAGTGCACTTCATTAGGGATGCACAAGGCCATATTGCCAGGGAATGCTGGCTGAAAATGGCAACAATGAATCAAGCAATTTCTGTATATTTGAGAGACGCCCCTGAGCCGAGGGGAATGCCTGGGAATGGATGATGAGAACCAGCTGCTGAGTGCCAGGAACCTGCTCTCAATCTCCTTCCATGTGGTGGGAGAAGCACACGTGGGAGACAGCACCAACTACTAACTCCAAGTCTTCCAGGGCTCCTAGCCAAGTAAGCAGGTCATACCTTAGAGAGGAACTTGCATGCTAGGAGTGACAAGAGGTTTTGCTCCCAGGACAGATGAGCAAATTAGCTCTCAGCAAGGAGCCCTGGTGGGCAGTTCAAGCCCATCAGCTGCTCCACTTACAGCCTTGCAAGCCCCGCATAGGGAGACTATGAGTGAGCTCTGAGGCCAGGGGGGTTTAGGTTTGGGTTCCACAGTCTTGGTACTGGACTGGTACCCACACGACTCCATGATTCAGAGGGGAATCCAGTCCGTGGGAAAAAGCAGCGCCATACCCAAGGGCTTGGGCATTTGCTGGTTTTGAAAAACGGTCATGCCCATTTTATGTAGTCCCTAGCTGGTGCAGACAGTTAATGTGCTTGGCTGGTAACTAAAAGGTTGTAGGTTTGGGACCACCCAGAGGCACCTCGGGTGGAATGCCGGGCGATCTACTCCTGAACGAGCAGCACTTGAAAACTCAGCACAGCTGGATCGTGACACACAGCTGGTCTCCAGAGAGGAACTCAGTGACAACGGGGAGTATGACCCTCACCCCCCACCCCCCGACTTCATTTGCTGCAAGTTGATGCATCAGCCACTTCCCTTCCCTGAGCTAGTGTCCCCTTCTATAACCTTGATATAATACTAAACACCCTTCCCACCCTGCACTATGTAGGGTGTAGTAGTATGTGGTAAATGCTGAAAGGGATAATGTATGAGAGGGGTGGAGCCATGGTTTTAAAAAACACCCCCAAACAAGAACTAGTGGAGGTCTATGGCTCTTGTTTGTGATTGCCATGAGCCCACACGTGATTCTCTCTCACCCCAAGTCCACATTCCCCTGTTTGTCCTCACCTATCCTTACTTCAAATTACTTTGTAATTGTCTGGTGAATTGCATCTTCCCTGATGTACATCAAGGCTAGATCTTACCTCTGTATCTGGCAGGACTTGCCTCAGGTTTGGATACCAAATGGGCACTCACATACGTATCAATCACTTCTTCTTTTTAGATAGTCAGTGATCGAACCATGAATTGGAAGGCCTCGTGATATAGCTGAAAGTGCTCTGGTTTTGATGAGAGAACAGGTGGGTTTGAATCCCAGCCCTGCCAATATCAAAGGTGTCACGGGGCTTCCTCTCCTCCTCCTGCACAAGAGGAGTCATCACCCTACTTTGCAGGGTAGCTGTGAGATTTAAACAATACAGCTTAGAGCAGTGGTTCCCCACCTTCCTAAAGCTGCGACCCTGTAATACAGTTCCTCATGTTGTGTGACCCGTATGTGGGCCTGAAGATGGATCGAAGAGTGGCGTCTTGGTTCCTAAGACCATTGCAAGTGTGCTCTTAGGTGACCCCTGTGAAAGGGTTTTTCGAAGGTGTTGCGATCCCCAGGTTGAGAGCCGCTGGCTTAGCGGATTACCCAGGTGCAGGTGCTTAGAAAACGTTACTAATATTCTCCCCTTCACTCTCCAAGCGCCTAGGCAGCAGAAGCCTGTGAGTCTTCTAGAAGTCCGAGTTCAGGAGAAAAGCGACCTGGTTCTCCATCAGCCTCTGGGGGCCTCACGTTCTCCGTCTCAAAAACGGAATTGAGACAGTCTCTTCCCATCCTTTTTGTGAGTTGGGGGGAAACATGACGATTCAGGATGGATGATTGAAAAGAGGTATTTCCAACACATCACAACAACCAAACAAAAGCAAATGCAACCCTAACAGGCCCAACCCAGGGTAGGGAAGCAAGAAGCATTTACTGAATGAATGCAGATGCCCAAGCAGCTCCCAACAAGCCAATTCCTGGTCTCTACGTTCCTTTCCATGTTTTGCCCCCACCGCTCCAGATACTCTAAACTCTGCCCTCCCCAGGGTCGGAGTGACTTGGCAGGCCTCCACAATGCCAATTTTAATTTCCAACTTTATGTTGTGATGTTTCAGAGTTTATACAGCTCCCAGGGAGTTGCCCTTGTCACCACGGCAACCTCCAGGCCACTGCCGTGAGAGAAATTAGCGCCTGCCCAGACCTAGGGATGGCTGTAGTCGTTCCCTCTTGCATCCCTAGCAGTGGATGCTTGTGTACAAATACCAAGTGGGCTCCAGCCAGCCAGGGTAATCGTGTACAGCAATAAACTATCTGTTAGCTGATGCTTACATTTCAGACAAATTGAGAAGGCTGTCAAAGGCATTAGCTTCTATCCTTGCCAGGGAGTCACTCTGAGAGATTTCACTAGGGTAGAAAAGAAAAAAAAAAAAACAATAATAAAAGCAACATGACTGAAATGGTTGTATCCGTCCGATAATGAGCTCTGTGTGACCCCTCCCCACCATGGGGCTCCAGGGTACCCCCCCCCAAGAAGAAATGGGGGCTCCAGGTCATCCTCATACCATAGAGGAATATCTCCTTTAAGAATAGTCAGGGGGCATTCACAGCCCAGGCACAGCACAAATGTAAATTTCAGTAACTCCTGTTTGTGTGATAGGTTTGTGTCTTATTTATCTGCGCTCACCGGCACAGATGGTTAGGCATGGACAGGCCCCAGAGAAAATCCTTTGAGATGCCACTGTGTTGCAGCTCTGGGACTCAAAGTCTCGGGGAGAGAGGGAAGTAGTGCGGGCATGGAGGACCAGGACTGGCATCAGGCTTCCTGGAAGCCCAATTCCATCACTCTGGGGAGGTTTGAATTGGATGGTTCAGAAACGTTAACTCCTGGCTTCCCCCCAAATCCTTTTCTGAGACCCCTGCATGTGGTAACCCTCCACCAGTTGTAATTTTCTCCCTCTGTGAACAAATTGAGGACAAAAGGACATAGTTAGAGAATGGATGAATGGACAAATGGGCTCAGGAATGGATTTACACAACACCACCACCACCAAGGTCAAGAAGCCAGCGTTGCCGTATACAATCCAAGCGTGTATGCGATATCGCTGTTCGCAGATGATCCCAACATAAGCTACCATTTGCTACCTACTGAGGAAGAAAAAAATCTCTACTACCAAATTGTGCTTCTGCACATTTCCAAGGTCAATGCTCCCTGAATGCTTCTGACTTGATGAGCGCTTTACCCACAGAAGGGCAGAGTCCTGGGCAGCGAATGTCTTTTCTGAACAACAGAGTAATGGATTGTTCCTGGGCTGATTCCTTTTGTTCCTACCTAATGGTTTGCTTATTTAAATGTGGCTGCTTTTCTCACTGGGTGGTCTTAATGCATTAAAAGTTATCAAAATTCCACTTTTAAACTTGAGAGCAGAGGAGCTAAGGGTGAGGTTCAAGCAAATGGACTTTTCTGTAGTTTACAATGCACCTCCTAGAAGATGCAATGATTCTTGAGCAATTATATTTATTAGCTTCATAGCTTGTGAATGCCTTAAAGAGCAGTCAGAAATTCTCTGAGGAGCCAGGATTTATCTTGGAGCTTCAGATGCCCCAAGGAATTAAATGGCTTTGGGCTCAGATTAACTTTAAAGAGGAGGCTGGGATCCTGGGACTCCTTCCAATGTTGTCTCTCTCTCTCTATGGGGCCTTGGACCTCAGGGGAGGCTCACTGGTTAAAGAGCTCAGCTGCCAGTCAGTGGGTTGGTGGTTAGAAGCCACCAGCAGCTCCACTGTCTACTCCTGTAAAGATGGTTGGGCTTCGGTGCCCTTGTGTCAGGGCATTTCAGTCTATTGGATAGCTCGCTCGCTATGCTGGAATTGGCTTGAAGGCGGTGCGTCTCACCTTCTAAGGAACAAAGGATCACAATGATATCTGCACAAATGTGAAAGCACTGCATTACATAATGTAGCCCACACTACATTATCGGGTTGCTTTACACTCTTGCAAATGCCTTTCATCAGTGCAGACTTTAAAACCGTGTTTTGGACCTACATTTATTATATTTTAGTTACCAAGATGATCTTCCGATGCACAATAAACTTCCACCCCATTTTCGTCTATGTGGATGTTATCGAAATGTGACCCGGGGGACGAGCTGCTCTAGCCAAAGCAGTTTTTATGACTGGAATCTATCTTCCTTTCCACTGGAGGAGTTTATCATCACTTATCACAAGGCATTCAGTTCTTTGAAGCAAGGTTAATTACCTGGATTTTAATGACTCTTGAAAATCATACTCTTCCTTCAAAGGTTCCTGTACATTATTTGTATTGATATAGATAAAAAAGATCAGGGTTTCCTAAAGACAATTTATCTCCTAGAAAAATTATCTCCTTTCAGTTGCATTTTCTCTAAGGACAAAAAAATTACCATTCCCATTACAAATGTCTTTTGATCTGCAGTATCTTACTTACATTTTTATGATCTCATTAAGTCCTCTGAAAGCTTGTGATGGGATTACTTTGATAGGGAGATAGGTGAGTGATCTAGAAAAGAAAAAAGAAATGCCAAGAGTTTAAGATTTAAGATCAGGTGCCTTTTAAATTTATGAATAAAGTAAGTGTGGATGTGTGTGCAAATGTGTTCACCTATGGCACTCCAGAATTACCAACCACTGGATTCACTGGATTTACATTAAGAAAGACAAGTACCATGACTCATTCTTGGGGTCAGTATCAAAGAGTGTATAATCTAATGATGAAGATCATTACTTTTGGGATTTGGGAATCAGACACACCTGGGTTCAAATTTCAGCTCTCCTCCTGCCTGTGAGACTTTGAGTATGTTAGTAGACGTGACATGAAGCCTTCTATGCATTACCTCCATCTCTCGCCTGACAGTTTGTCCTGTTGTGATGCTTTATAGGTTGCTATGATGCTGGAAGTTATGTCATCAGTGTTTCAAATGTCAGCAAGTCACACGGTAGACAAGTTTCAGCAGAGTGTTCAGAGTAGGAAGACAGACAAGAAAGCAAGGCCTGGTAATCTATTCCTGAAAACCAACTTATATATGAAAACTCTATAAAAGACAACACAGTATTGTCCAATATAGTGCTAGATGATGAGTCCCGTAGCCTGCAAGACACTGAAAACCCCCAGCGGCTGAAACAACAGACTTAAGCACGAAGATATCACAGAACCAGGTACGATGTCATTGGATTGTCCATGGGGTCACCCTGAGTCACCACCAATTTAATAGCAACTGACATGAACCCAAGTAATTACTTGATCTATAAAATTAGCCTAAAATTAATTCCTATTCTATATAATAAACTATGGATAGTTGTGAGAAGAATGGAAGTTTTAGAACACTCCATTGTGCTCCTATGGAATCTGTACATGGATTGGGAGGCAGTTGTATGAACAGAACAAGGGAATATTGCATGATAGTCAGGAAAGGTGTACATCGGGGTTGTATCCTCTCATCATACTTATTCAATCTGTATGCTGAGCAAATCATCAGAGAAGCTGGATTCTATGAAGAAGAATATGGTATCAGGATTAGAGGAGGACTTATTTTTAAAAATAGTTATATTGAGCTATAATCCATATATCATACACTTCTATAATTCATTCACATTAAAAGAGTTGTACAATCACCACTACAATCAGTTCTAGAACATTTTCTTTCTTCTTGTATTCATTATTTGTTCCCCATTTCCCTCCAACTTCCCCCCCTGTGCCCCCAATAAGCTACTGTACCAATTACCATCTCTATAGATTTCTTATCCTGGATTTCATATGCTGGAAAAGACAAAAAGAAATAACTCTCCACACTCCCTCCAGCAGATATATTTAGAAAGAAAAGACCAACAATGATATAAAATTAAACCAGAGAAAAAGACTAGAACAAATTTAAAATAGGTCAAAAGGTAGAGCAAATGAGCAAGTATTACATTTTAACCTAATTACATCTGTTATAATCAAATATGTCTGTCTGACAGCAAGATGATTAACATCCATTGACTATGGTTAGAAGCATAATCCATGTAAAAAAACACAAAAAGAAAACTCCCTACCATCGAGTAGATGCCGACTCTTAGTAGGTACCCTGTAAATAGAATTTGGGTTCCCACTATCACCCTTAGCTTGCTACAAATGAGTATACAAAATCTAAGCTCTGCTACCATTCCCTCATTTGGATTTGGATTTTATGATGAATCCTTGGATCACACAGGCTGGTGTACTTCTTTCATGTGGACTTAGTTGACACCTCATTTAGATGGTGCTTCCTTGAAGACAAGGTTTTAAACCCTCAGATGCTCTTCTGTTTGATAGTTGGGCATCATTGGCTTTCTTCATCACACTTTGCTGTAGCACCCTTGTCTTCAGTGATCTCTTCATGAGGGCAAGGGTCACTCAGGGCCATGTCATAAGGACAAATTGTTCTTTGACTGGGGCTAGAATTAAATCCAAGCCCCACATCCATTCACTTATCTATGTATATCTTTGGCTTATTTTGGAGGACTTATTACCACTTTCTGACAGAGCATTATCAATCATCTATTGAGAGTGTCGTTCCTTTATCCAATGGTATAGGATTTAACAGACTGCTGAGAAAAGGAAGTTATACAAGTATAGACTGGCTTCCAACTGCAATCCACAGGCTGGTGATTTGTACAGATTATACTCTTAAATGATTAAGCTCGGTTTACATTGACCACGGAGGTTAGTGCTAAGGGAACATTTATTCACAAGGACAGAATCATCCCTGTCGGCTTAACACACAGTAAAGCAAGGAGGACATTAAAATATTCTGGGCCACCTTCAATTGAGCACGCACAATATAAGGGATCTGAACCAAAGTCCAGTGACTGCTAGTTCCATAACCTTGGGGTGGCAGCCATTTGTTTCCTCTCACACCTGAGAGTTTCAGTCTTAAGTCCAAGGGCTTCAGGTAAGTTTGAGGTATGGCCCATTTCATTTAGTGGTGCTTCCACATTGAGTCCTATGAAAGATGTTTTCCTTGAATGGATAGAGTCTAAAGTGACCGTAGTTTATAGCATACTTCCTGAGTTACCAAGGGCTGGATAGAAACCAGGTCAACATTGGCTAATTAAGAACATAATACAGGGCTTATTCTCTCCTTGGGATTCATGTAAGTAATGTTAAACATTTTTTTTACTAATGGGAAGTTGCTCCTCCCCATTTACCCACCAACAGAAGTGTAAATGCCTCTGGAGGAAGACTTATTAATAGTGATATGTAGATGACACAACTATGCTAGCTTAAAGTGAGGAGGACTTGAAGCACTTGCTGATGAAGATCAAGGATTGCAACCTTCAGTATGGATTACAATTCAATATAAAGAAAACCCAAATCTTCACAACTGGACCAAAAGGTAACACCATGATAAATGGAGAAAAGATTGACGTTGTCAAAGATTTCGTCTTGCTTGGATTCACAGGCAATGCTCATGGAAACAGCAACCGAGATATAACATGATGTATTGCATTAGATAATCTGTTTCACGAGACCTCATTAGAGTGTTGAAAAGCAGGGAGGACCACTTTGAGGACTCAGGGTGCCTGACTTTAGCCCAGGGTATTTGTCAGTTGCCTCATATGCATGTGAAAGTTGCATGTTGAATCAGGAAGACCACAGAGGATCTATGCATTCGCGTTATGGTGCTGGAAAAGAATACTGAAAGTACCATGGACTGCCAAAAGAATAAGCAAATCTGTCTTGGAAGAAGTACAACCAGAATGCTCCTAAGAGGCAAGAATGGTGAGACTTCATATGACATCCTTTGGACAAGTCAGGAGAGAGCAGCCCTTTGAAAAGGGCATCGTGTTTGTCAAAGTAGAGGGGCAGTGGAAAAGAGGAAGCCCCTCAATGAGATGGATGGACCCAGTGGCTGCAACAATGGGCTCAAGCATGGGAACAACTGTGAGGCTGGGGCAGGACCAGGCAGTTTTCACTCTGTTGTGCATAGGATTGCTGTGGGTTGGAACGGAGTGGATGGCATCCTCCAACAGCAACACCAACCAAGAAAACCCACGTAAAGTACAGGTCTGCCACCAAGTAAACAGCTAATAAATAGTCCTAGATTGGTCCTGTAGCTTGGTTGGGAGGATGGAAAAGAAGCCATTTCGGAGAGAAGTGGAGAAAGAAATGATGAAAACACAATGGGAAATCAGTCAGGCAGGCGAAGACAAGACTCAGTCAGGACATGCTCCAATCGTTGTTTTTCTCATTTCTCCCAAAGAACCGATTTCAGCATGGTTGTAACCACATCGTGTTGCTCCTGTGCTTAACGTATATGGTCAGCTCATTGGGGACCGAGGGCCTATGTCTATAGGAACATTTCCTTCTGTGTGCCTTCCCATCTGTAGGAGCAATCTATGTGTATTCTTAAAACTGAGATAACAGTTATAGAGTGCCTATAAGTTGAGAAAAGAGCAGCTACTCAGCATTGGCCAAACCAGTGTAGCATGATCGATGAGTTCTACAGGATCTCGGGGTCAAGAAGATTCAGGAAAAGAGTCTGCAAGGCAAGGATGAAGGGCCCACCAACATTTGTGGGCCATCTGCAATGGCCCAACTTTTGACACAAAGACCAGTAGAGGAGAGGTTGGAGATGCAGTTATGCTTTCCAAGGGTTTAGGCGGGAGGGGCTGACTTCCCTGATAGGAAATAACACTTCTTCCACGATGAGCAGCTTAGAACCTTGGAAAGAACTTGCTACTGGTTTAAAGTGCTGTGCAAGTTACGCCCAGCCATCTACAACCTTGCTTTATCTACCTAACAGTGATGCAGGGTGATGTGATGTTTAATTGTATGTGCCACGTGGCTGGCCTGCAGTGCCCAGTTGTTTAGTCAGACACTAGTCCAGATGTTGCTATGAAAGTATTTTGTAGATGCGATGAACATTTATATCAGTTGACTATAAAAGAAGCAGATTACCTTTGAAAATGAAGTTACACCTCATCTAACAAGTTGAAGGCCTTAGACGTAAAAGCTGGGATTTCCTGAGGGAGAAAGATGTTGTCTGAAGACTACAAATAGATGTTTTGCCAGAATTTCCCGTTCCCAGCTCACTGCCTGGCCTCCATGGGGTTGCCAGGAGTTCGTGTGTGTATGTGTGTGACTTCATGAGTGCATTGCCATTTTCTTGACTAGTTTTGCTAACTTTGAGCAAGTGCAAGTCATTTCAATTTTAATAGTGTAATAGTTTTGGAATAAGGTGCAATCAGAGCATGGGTTACTTTCCCTTTATTTTATTTTTTATACATAGACTAGGGTGTGATTTAAAAAAATTGTGATATAGGACATCCACGGGGAAAACACATAAAACGGAGATATGTAGTAGGTAACTTAATGTTTAGAGAGTAAATTTCCAGGTCACCACCGCTCTCGCCAGGAGTTCTGAATCAAATGGAAAAGCCTGGATTACAGTTTTGGGACCCAAGACTATGGGAGTTTTCTGTCTGTTACCACACCCACAGATTCTGTACTTACCAGTCCCTTACAATTGCATGCAGCAA